CAGAGAGGCTGGGCTTCCACTGTTCTCAGTTACTTCCAGAGCCATAAGCATGAACAGGACCATAACAATCACACTTAACATCCTTTGTTTTCTAGGAACATGGAAATACCACTGGGAAAGCAGAGATGTCCTCAGCTCTAAGTTTTGCATTTTGTTATACATTTTAGCAGGCTCTGCTATAAGGAACTGTCAACAGTAAATGTACAGCACTGCAGCCAAGGCAGCCTCTGCAGAGTTTCCTGCCAGAAGACCTTATTCCTTTGAGGCAGACATCATTCCTTTCCCAACAGAGATGATGTCATCAGGATAAAAAAAGGGTATTTTATGCACTGGGTCATTTTTCCCCCATAATGGGGCACTATATGACCCATAATTGGAGGAAAATTGGTCATGCTTTAAGAGATGAGGTAATGTGCATCCAGTGTACAGACCATATGTTGTGTTCAGGACATGTCCTCTAATTCAGCTGTCTCCACAGGTGGGAGCCTGGTGCCAAATTAGCCACTGTCATCTCCACGTGGCTGAATCCAACTCAGAAGAAAATAAATGTTTACATTTTAGCTGAATCCTTTCAGCTTCTTTCACTTTCTCAGTTTAAGACATATGGATTTGTGGCAGTGATGGGGGACTAGACATTGTGTTAAGCACTCGATTATGCTAATAAATTCATGTTTTATATCTGCAAAAGAATTAATATTGATAAGCATATGTTTATGAGTTTCGTGTTCAGCAGAACCTTCCAGCCATATACCTATGTGCCAGCTCTTTGCAAAATCAGGGATCTAGCAGTTCACACAAGCATTGTAGAAACTGTAAATAGGCATGATTTAATTTCAATTTAGGGGGGAAAATGAGGTGTAAAAAAATGTTCTCCTCAAACTGTTTACCATCCATAGTATTCTGCAATGCTGGCTGTGGAGTCCTTTGGTCTGAATAACAGCCATGAAAGGTGGCTGAGCAGGCAGAAAGACAAAAAACCCTGAAGGGGAACGTGAAGCATGTCTTCTTTTACCCTGAACCTGTATGATTTTGGGTGTTTACATGTTCAGTTAAGTGTTCTGTGATTAAACCAAGAGACAGATCTGCTGTCCCAGACACCAAATACCCTTGCTTTCAGCTGAAATTAGAATGCATGATCAGTCAAACACTGATTCAAATGACAGGTTCAGTGAAAGATATTTTAAAAAAATTCCCAATCAGGCCTGCCTATCAAAAATGAATTTTTCTAGTTCATTTGCATTAAAAAATAAACAGCAGTTCAGTAGGAAGGGCTGCATATTGTCCTTTCAACAGAGGGAGAGATATGAACTTATTGCCTCCAGAAGAGAAGTAGAGTCTGACCCCTACCAGATTTTGTCCTCTTGCTAATTCATCTTTCCTCATATAGAGCTTCAGTAGCATGGTCTTGGCTTCTTTGTCTTTGAAATTTAATGCTAGCTTCTTTTTAAAAAAGTAAATAAGTTCAAACCTGCTTCATTGGGCCCCAAGGGCAAATGATGAGCTCCCATTGGAGGTTGTCACAGTAAGGAGCATGTTTGTGTTTGTGTTAGAGCACTCAGAGTCTCACTGCTCAGGCTGGAGGAGTTTCTTGTGACAGATTATCTCTGGTGATATTTAGCAAGCAGCTCACATGCAACAAATAAAGGCCAGACACGTGTAAGACTGACTGCTTCTGGCAGCTTCATATTAAGATCCATTTTGCCAGATTTGCTTTAGATTTTGAAGTCTGTGCTCCAAGAATGGATGCAGGAATACCCATTCTGAGCTTGTGTCTGTTGTGCTGGAAATGTTATTAAAGCAGGTGGATGCAGCACTTGGGGGCATGGGTAAACGTGGACCTGTCAGTGTTGGGGGAATGGTTGGGCTCAATGCTCTTAGAGGGCTTTTCCAATCCTTCTCACACTCTGGAGGGGATCTGTTGTTGTCTGCTGCTTGTTCAAGTGCAGGGTGTAAAATTATTATAAAAAAATACATTTTTTTCTCTGCAGAGGCCTGATGCTTTAAAGGAGGCCTGCAGTTTACAAGTCAAACTCTCAAAGGGCCCCGGGAATGAGTGCTGACACTGCTCATTCAGCACTTCTTCTGCAGTCTCAGACAGTTTCACTCACAATAAATATTGCAGGCAACCTTGAGCATCCTATGAAAATTTGTCAATAGACATTCTATTTCTCTGTGCTTGCACAGAGCTGTTCTGCTTCCAGTCGTGCAGTGTTGTACTGGGCTGAGGGCAGCAAACAGATTTCTTCTGCATGTGACGTCGGGAATGATGCCCGTGCAAGCTCTGGCACAGAAAACATCTCTTATTTTTTGTAGATACCTTTTTACTTTGGGTCTGCAGCTCTCCTGCTCATAGGTCTCTCAGGTGCTGCATCTCCTGGCCAGTCCTGATATAGCAGAGAATGATGAGAGGACACAGAAAATCAAAGACTGACAGAATACATGGGCTGTTTTCTGCAGCTCAGGCTCACCATCACTCCAGGAGAAAGAGCTTCTGCTAGGCTCAGGAATTTGGTGCATTACTGCACAGATCTCAAGGGGAAAAAAAATCCCTTTGAATGGAGGGCAGTAAAAGTGGAAAAGCTGAAAGTGTTTTCACCAAAAGCTAGGTGATATAAGAATCTGCAAAATAAGTTTCACACCTACAGAAAAATCATAGAAAGCCAAATTCTACTATCTGATAATTTGCCGTTATTGTAAAATTACTCCCAGAGCAACTGAGGCAAATTTCTCTGAGTTTTCAAAGCTATCAGTAGAAATCAAACAGTTCAAATCATTAAGTAAATTTTCCTTCACTTCTGAACTTATTGGCCTTGACTAAGCTGCTGCATACAAATTTGCTAGTGCAGTATCTTGTGGGGTCTCAGCCTGGGAATTTTGATGGCCTTACAGCTTTCATTTTCCTGAGAGGATTTTTGGCTAGATCCATCGAAATGTTTCAGTTCCTATATGGAAACAGTCTTATATAATGTAAGCTTATATGAACTGATCATTTAAAGAATAAATATTTGGCCCCAGAGCTGATGACTTTGACAATAGGGAATCAAACTACTTTTTGTGTTTAACTTGAAGTCCCCTGGTGTATGTATTATTCCCAGTACAATGCATCCCACTGAGTTATTTTTCTAACCTAAATATTGGTTTTCTTTCCTTTTTTATGGAAGACCCTGAATGACAAAATAGTAAAAGAGTGTTTCCAAGGAAGTATGTCCTTGCCCTCTACCCCTGCTTTTCCCTGGATAATCTTTGATCAGACTCGGGATCCCCACTCTATTTATAAGCAAGGTGATAATGGTAGCATTTAGCAGGGTTCAGAAATAGAGGTGTGGGATTTGTGAGAGGCACTGAGGCAGGCCACACCAGGGGCTGGGTCCCTAAACCTTCTCTGCAAAATCAGTTGTGTCTGAAGTGCTGCTCTCCAGCCTGCAGGAGTTCAGGGTGACCAGCTTCACACCTTAAACACTTGTGTGACTTCTGTTGCTTAAAATTAGGTAAGGCAAAGCCTGCTTTAGCCATTGTCTGTCTTGCCTAAATTGCTGTAGGTCATGCTGAGGACTAGCCCTGTCTTTAAGGATTGTGTTGAAAGGGTTGCAAAAAGTTACCTTTGGCCCTTCTTCACATGGAGCACGAGTTGCAGCTGAAACAAAGTCCATGAGCACTCTGTTTGCTTCTCCACACAGCTGGGCTCCTGGCACACTAGAGCAATTTGCATATGCTGATTTAACTGTTGGAAAATCTATTCACGCAAAAATCTTCCTATTCTCTTAGACAATGGATTTCTCCCCTCTCATTTTGTTGTCAAAATCGTTTTCCCATCTGTTATTGGGGCAAAACAACCTCCTGGTCTGGATGTTTCATTCATGGATAAAGCTTTCATTGGAACTTGTTTTCGGGTTGGGGCAGATTTTGCTCCCGGTGAAATGAGCAACAAAACTCCCTGTGAGCTGAATTGAGCCTCTCCTGAAAATGAGGAGGTTTTAGAGGAGTTACGATGGCTGTGGACAAGGTCTTGTTGCTCTGCCCTTTCAAAAGAGAACTCTGTCTAGTGGAGGAACAATCAGAATATTTGTCTCTTTAAATGAATGGTTCTTAGAGCCTGCACTGAGAGGCAGGCTCCCTCTCTGCGGCTGTGAGGCTACTCAGAGCCTCCAATAAATCAGCATGCAGGCACTGAGAGCTCTGTCCTTGAAGGGATGCAGTGACCTTGCTCATGCTTACTCTGGAGGAATAGGGGAACCAGAGGAGCCCAAATAGTGAGCAGAGTGGGACTGAAGGCTCTGCATTCTGCATGCAAATGCCACAGCACCGGAGCCACGGCACGGACGGCGTGCTGCTGCACAGAATGCAGCTTTCCTGCTAGCCTGACCAGACTGCTGCTGCTGAGCTTCTTTTTTCCTTTTTTTTTTTTTTTTTTTTCCCCTGCAGGGTTCTGAATGAAATCCTCATGATTGTTGCATGCTTGTTCAATAATAGCAAGCCCCAGTCACGTCTCCTTGTGAGCACATTTGGTCGGAATCACTGAGCAGAAGCAGAGAGGAGCTGACGACTATGTGCTTCCAACGCAGGTTGCCGGAGCCCCGTGTTTGCCATTGGCTGCAGTTCTCTGGTTTGTGTGCAGCTTCCCCCATCTGGAATATGAAAATGGGATTGAAGTAGATAATTGCTAGCAGCGGGTTTTCAAGAGAGGCTTAGAGGGAACAGAATGCCTCTCACACAGCACAGGCTGCCTGCGCTGAGAGAGCTCTGAGAGATGATTTCAGATGTTACCCACGTCTGAATCTCCTGGAAACTTTACCGTGGAAGCAAGCCATTGCGCACAGTCCTGGAGCTAACATCCAAAAGGGGCAAGGAAGTGGCAGCAGGGCCAAACAATGGGATACCTTGTCCTTGGATTGCTCACAGAAAAGCCAGCAGGCATTCCCCTCCAGTCCCCAGCAAAAAGGGCATGAAGGTGGCAATGAACTGAATTTTACCCAGTGAAGCTTCAGTGGCTTTTCAGAAGGATGGGATACACTGACCCTTCATCAAGCCGGGATTTGCTGGGAAACAGAACTTTGTTCTTCATCTTCATCTGCGCCTTTGCCGTGGTCACCTTGCTGCAGCAGATCCTCTACGGGAGAAACTATCTCAAGAGGTAAGGGGGGGTCAGAGGGAATAGGAAAAGTTGTCTGATCAGGCTGAGGGGAGATGGAGCCCCAGGCAGACCATTATAGCAGTTCAAACCACTTCTCAGTGTTTTGCTGATGATAACAATATCTTGTCAGTCTGGGAAGGTGCATCCAGCATCTGTAATGTTTGTTAGGTTATGAGTGCAGGAGAAGGTTAGGCAGAATATAATGTTTTGTGAGTTCCCTGGGTTATGTTTAAATCCTCAGCTGTGGCAAAAATATGGGTTTGTGTTCAACTTAAACAGACTCGTGCCACCTGAGTATTTGCCCCTTACAAGGCTTCCCACTCTATGTAAGTTCAGGCTGAAATGGGTCAAGATGTTGAATTGAAGTAGCTTGTTCATTGCTGAAACTTCGATGTCTTTAGAAACAAACATGCAGATGCAGTTCCTAAAATCAATATTAGTGTTCCAGATAACCAAGAGAGCACTTTATTTTTGCACTGCTGTCTTCTTATGAATTGCTGCTGAGACTGCCTCGCTGTAGAGCACATCACTCTTTGATCTGAAAATGCTCTTTTCACAGCAAACACCGAGGGGGCTCTATAAATGTTTAACCTTGACCCATGCAGAGTTTATTTTACTTAAACCTGGTTTGAGAAGTTACAGCTTGCATGATTTTATGAAGATGAATGTTTCCATTACATGCTTTGAGGTAAGTGTTTCAGTTGTGTAGGCAGCTGCTGTGGAATTTTTTACTGGAATTGAGCTGCATTCTGCCAGGAGAGATAAATGGTTTGGTTCTTGCCTTGCTTGCAACTCATGTAGTTGTTTGCCCTGTGCCAGGAGCAAGCAAAATGCTGGCAAATCAGCCAACATTTCTCTCTGGGAGGGAAAAGCAAGCATGATATTAATATGTTTAGACAGGGGTGTTGTTTATCCACGGAGCAATTCGTGTGCCTTGTGTAGCACAAGGCCTTGTCTGGGGGACTCTGATTTTTTTTGGGCACCTCATTTCCCAGAAAATGTGACTTCCTCAGCTGGAAGAAGCAAGAATGAGCAGAAGTGTTGAAAACATGGGGTTTTTTGGCTTGGAGAAAACTGAGGGGAGAAAGGATAACTGACTTGAAATACCCAAATTAAATCTTAGAAGAAAAAAAAGCAATAAATACCTCTCTCTAAACACTCACAAAGTGCTAAAATGTTGTAGCAGGAAAGATTTGGATTTAATCATGATGGGGAACTTTTAAAGAAAATGATTACCTAAGGAGGTATAAAATCTCCACATTTGGGGAGCTTCAGGAACCTGGTAAGTAGACAAGGGTAGTACTAATCTTCCTCATTGTTAAGAATTTGACTTTATGGCTAGGTCGAGGTCTCATCTTGCCTTATTTTCTCAGTTTTTCCCATTTGTCTTGGAGGTCCTACCAATCCTTGCTTTTCCAAGTCAAAATTACTGCAACAGGGTTAGAGAGAAGAAAAATAAATCACAAGTACACACTGAAATGAAAAATGGTAAAGATAAAATTATGAGAAGATGCAACCAAAAACTCTTCCACTGAGTGGTCTCTGTGGCCTCTGTCCTGCCTCATGCCCTGGGAACCTCTCCTGTCATCATCAGGGAATGAAAAAAGGCTGATGTCCAATTCCTTGCAAGGAAAAAGTCTGGTTCTGAGCCCTCTGCCATCAAAGAGTCTCAAGTAGGGAGATGAGCATATATTTTGTCACTTGGACTGGAAAATATTACTTTTCTTTTTTTTTTTTTAACTCCAGCTTGCACTGATTTGTTTATTTTACTTTTTTTTTTTTTTTAATCATGTGAAAATAGTCTCATAGAGGGCTCCCCTAACTCAGTGCAGGGGAAAAAAAAGCACCTCAGCCCTCAGCTCCTTTCTGCTGGGAACTGGCAGTTCCCCTCTTCCAAGGAAATAAAAATGCAGGATTTGGCTGTAAGTTTTTAGTGACATAAAGGTGATTTAATCAGCATCCTGCATTGTTACCACAATATTATTATGAAGGTACCTTTTTTTTTGTTTTGTTTTCAGCTCTCCTTTTCCTCCCTCTCTCTTAACACCCTGCAGTACCTTCTGGTGAGCATTCCAGGGCAGTCTGATTGCCAGCGAGCTCTGTGCAGGGGCAGCTGTAACCTTTAATTACTCTTTCACTTCACAAACCTCTGGTGTTAAGCCCCCTGCTAGAAGCTGATTCCGGCTGTGAGGCTCCTCGGACGTGTTTTGACTTGTACCTGGTGGTTTTGGAGAGGCTCCTTGGAGAGGGGAAGCGGGATATTTATATCCCTGGCTCCACTTGCCAAGCTGGAGCCTGGGGACGCAGCCATTTACTCTCTGGGATTCCATGTGCTGCTTGTTTGGGATGCTTTTGCCTGCATCCCAACACCTGCAGCAACAACAGGACCCATGGCCTCCTCCCAAGGCAGCAGGAAGAAATTCCCCCATGTATTTGGAGAAACCTGAAAATTGCTCTAAAGTACTATTTCAGTAAGTGTACAGTGCTTTTAAGTCTAAATATAACACCAGGGTAGCTCTTTTCTCTGCAAGAAGATGGTGGAAATAGGTAAAGGCCTTCAAGGCAGGGGAGTGTGACCCAAAACAAACAGCTTGGGCACAATGCAGGTGACAGCATAGACTCAGGACTGGTCCCAAAGAGCAGAGTGGAGAAAGGTACCCTTTTCTGGGAGAAAGATAGCAAAGTTTGCTGTGTGCCATGCCACTTGCCCTTACAAGCAGGGAATGGGCTGGTTTGATGGCCATAAAATCCCACCTGAGGCTGTCCATGGAGGTTCAGGATCCTGCATTTGCCCATGGCCATGTTCCCAGAGCATCTCTGGGGGTGGCAGGACTGTGGACAGGAAAGGATGCTCCAGGAAATAAACTCGGCTCAGGGAAATTTGATAAGGGGCCCAGCCTTAGGTCAAAGTTCTCTCTTTCCCCTCATGGGATTTTAATGGGCTCCTGGCATTGCTGGTAGAAGGGGACAGTGTAGAGATTGAATTTCTAGGCATTCACACATTTTTCACCCACTGTGTAATGTTCCCCACTCCTTCCTTTGCAGTTTTATGCAGTGTCATTGGAAAGCAGAGTCCTGTCCACCTTCTTTTTTGCCCTTTTTCAGTTTTCTCCCAGGTGGGATGGGTGTGGGTGCTCTCACCAAGGCCAGTGCCTCATCCCTGCAGTTGCAGCTGAAGTTCTCTATCAGGAGAGTCAAACCACAAGCTGGAGAAATGGCATCAGGAAGCTCTGGTCTCTGCAGCTTCTGATCCCCAGTAAAAAGGATGATGAAATGAGATATAATTAAGGGACTTTAATACCAATCTCTGGGGTAATTATTTTTATTTTAGGATTAATGTGATGATTAAAAATCCACTGCATTGATCTGCTAAAGTAGGTTAAATGCTGTGGTCCTCTGCTTAAATCCAGAGCTGCCGCTTGCTTTTGTATTGACTCATCTTTCCAATGCTCGCCTTTCAGCTGAATTTTCTTTTGAATCAGATGCTCAGCTGAGGGCTGGCCTTTTTTTGTCAGCTCTTGTTTGGCCAGCAGGGAATAATCCTGGATTACATCAGGAAACTGCCACTACAGTAAAAAAATGTTGAAATCTGTCTTCATCTCCCAACCTGTAGCACGGGAGAGATCAATAGGACAGTCCTTCCCTTTGGCAAGGGAAAGATATCAGAGCAATACTTTGCTATATACCAATATTCTGTTGGCAGGAAATTCACTAAATTCTGGGTGTTTTAACAGACTGACTTCTGCACACTGAAGAGTGTCATGTGAAGAAGAGAATCTGCACCTTTAAAACTCCTTTTATTCAGCTGAGTTAGGAGAACACGTTTCCAAAACTATTAAAGACTCTAAACAAATATTACCCCAGGGGCTGCCAGAGGGTACTAAAAGATTGCAAAGACTCATGCAGCAAGATTCAGCAAACCTTCCTGTGCAGGCAGCCTGTATTATTTGGAAGCTTTGTATCTTCTAAATGAGAATGAAACATCACTCTTATGTATATGTGCCCTCTTACTAATATCAGAATCTCATGACTTGAGGAAAACCCACCATTTTTTAATATCTTAGGCAGCTTTTATTCAACACTTGCAAATCAATTCCCAGGCATCCTTACTTCTTTCCTTACCATATAAGATTATTTGTGATCACTTTCTGCACTGCATGGACTAAAGGAATAAACCCAGAGAAAATGAACCTGAACTGCACATTTCATCTGAACCCTAAATTCATGTCATTCTTACAGCAGGGACAGCAGGAACTGCAGTGGGAACATGGAGGCTACATGTGGCCCAAGTTGTATTTAGTCCTAAACTGGGTTTTTTGTCCTAACTACATTCAGCTCAGGTCAGCTGAGAGCTCCTGCCCCATCCCTGGCACATGCTCTTCTGGCCAGCTCATAACAACCTGTGAAAGTGTTAGCCATAACCTAAGACCATCTATTCCTGTGTTAAAACTCTCCTTCCATTGAAATATCTTCCCCTAAAGGCGTAATCTGAAGGTCACCTAGTGAGTCATCTCTCTGGTCACACAGCTCTGTGCTTCCAGCTCTAACCAGAGGGAATTACTACTCCACAGAAATTACATGTATCCTGTGAGTCATCTGGATGAATCCCTGGCAAGGTGCTGGGAGGTCTTGGGTTTGGGAAGCTTTTTTCAGAGAAGACTGCTGGAAACTTCAGAACAAAGCAAAGACTTCAAACAATATAGAGCACCAAAAAAATATGTGTTTACAGGATATGGACATCACCTTAAAGTGGCCAGATCTAGCTGAGCACAGCAGGAGAAGCTGAGACTCTAGCCATGCTGTTCCTGCTACAGAGCATTCCCAAGGCCATTTCATGGGGTGCAGGCATCCCTGTTGGTAATGGGGTGGAGGGGGCAGAACCAACAGGGAGCTGATAGATTAATTCAGCTGTCTCCAAATTCATGGGCTCACAAAATCACTGAATGGTTTGGGTTGGAAGGGACCTTAAAGCCCATCCAGTGCCACCCACCTTCCACTAT